TATATATCTTGCACGATTGCAAAGCGCAAGAGGGGAACGAGAAGGAACCAATTACATATTATGCAGCTCCAGCGGAGCTTTACATAAATTCAGATTGAAAATTTCCGCTCACAAGCAAAATTAGATTATATGTCAAGGACCCTGTAGACGTACATTTTGTTTGTTTGTTCGTTTATTTATTTGTTTGTTTAGGGTAGGGGGTAAAACCTATAATCTTCAATCCCATAAAGCGGTTATAAATAGAACTAGAGTCCTTAGCTGCGACGTCACGAGTGTCAAGCTTGAGGGGCGCACCGCCATTCCGGAGAGGAAAAAAAAGGCCAGGTGCATAGCAACACTTTTCAATCACGGATTATGATACTCTACGAAGTCTTTTAATGATGATTTCTTTTTAATGTGATTTGCCTATCGCTAAAATATACTCTTTGGGGTTTTTTGGGATTTTTTTACTTTTAATTTTAAATGAGCCATCATCAAATTATAATGCAAATGGGACCTTTTAAACGGTGAGACCATATAGGTGAGTAAAATGTAAAAAAAAATGAATGAGATGGACTTGATAATCTACAGTTAAAATAGAAAACATTATTCTATTGAAATCTTTTTCTGTGTGTCGCTCAAACAGAATGTCTAGATTTAGCACAGCTGGCCACAACAATAGGCGCTCGTATCGGCCCTCTGGGATCAAGAAAGTGACTGAGAAGCTGCTATAAAGTTTCAGCTGCAATTCGAGCACACCTTAAAGGCTGACTGAACGGAAAAGAAACACTGTCGATGTTGTTGAGATGAGAAAATATGAAGTAGCTAACAAGGCGTATATCTACCCTCCAAAAAGATCGGCGTAATATTCTGTATCATTTGCGGACCGCGATATTTCTATGCCGTGCAACAGCAGCAGCAGGGGTTCATGGAAGGGGGTGTTGTACCGTGTAGCCAACGCAATCAACGCCAATTTTAGAAAATATTGTGAATTTTAAAGTTCAACCGGCTATTTATCTCAGTGTTGCATTTTAAAATTTTGTCAGTATATAATTATTTATTGTGCCCGATATTAGACAACGCTCTTTGGGTGTGCGCACAGGATCCAAACGCAATGAGTGATTTAAAATATCTCAGCCTACAATTAATTGCTCATTTGGACACAATAACGAATTAATTTATCAGATAATTAACCCAGTCTTAACCCCCTTCATACTCTGTGAAAACCTAGAGGCTTTGCATCAGCAGAACTAGGAGAGTCGTAGACAACACAAACGCAATCCATTTTGTAAGTATGAAATTGTCATTTTTCTTAACAAGCAGTATTTCATATTATATCTCCCTATTCATTGTAACCAATATTTTAATGCTTTTATGTTTCCCACAATCGGTCAGCAGGTGCGGTGTTGTGTATAAAGTGTATGTTGTATGATTAAACAGCATATTATAACAGCAAACAGAAAGAAAACTTTTAAAAAATAAAACTGAACTGAGCTTCAAAGTATAAGACCATAAGGCGTTACGAGGAACACGCAGCGTGACAGCGCTGTTTCTAATTGAGATCTGCAGGCAACTTTAAGATTTTATTTCAATGTTTAAAAAAATAATTGCCAAAGCCTAAAAATATTAGATCCCGCATTTTCTTGCTGCCGAGCTCGGGGATCTTAGGCGGAGACTATACTGATTACAGTATTTTCACTTTGTCAAACTATACTTTTTAAACGTCCTGTTTTGATAAAGAATCAATAGGGAAGTTATTCGTAAGATGACAATCATGGCTTATTTTTCCTTTTCAAGCGCTATAGGCCTAAGCATCGAACACACGCAAGGAAAGTAAATTATCGAGGAGCAGAGACTGGGAGCAAAATTGTATTGTTCTGTCGCATTTGAAAATGGTGAACAATTTTAATCAAACATAGTTTCGTTTTCCGGTTGTAGTTTTGGACTGTCAGAGTCGCCACCGTCGCCCTCTCCTCTTTTGTTGTAAACAAATCAACGTGCTGTCGGCCGATACCCGAAACATTGACTTGATAGGCTTGTCGTGTGTGATGATGAAACATTCGGAAAGTTGTATCAAAGTCACTTGTTTTCTATATTTAACACCTTGTTAATGGGTTTACAAGCAAATCAGAAAACCGGTAGTGCACTTTACGTGTTATGTAGTTCTTTTTGTCGAGATAAGGGTCTTCTCAAAAGATACTTCAAACCCTCTTTACCTCTGACGCTGACTCGGTTGTGTCGCGTGTGCTCTGTTGTTCAGACTGTTCAGTATTCAACACTAAAAAAAGAGTGTCCATCATCATCATCATCAACCAGCATGACCTCTGCTCTACGGTCCGAAGATACTGAGAGGAAGTCCTTTCATCAAGAGTTGACACTTCCAACCTCATCACATAATGAATCTGTTGGTGGAGTTAATCCTGTCGTGACTCGTCTTCGCAATGGAATGAGAAAAGGTAATAGATCTAATATCTTATCTAGATCTAGATCTAGATTCTAGATCAATCTTCTAGACTTGGTTCTAGACAGCATTGACGATGCATTTTTTCAGACATGCCAATGGTTAGATTCTTCTGTGTGCCCGCAACAGAATCACGCTGAACCCCAAGAAATTCCTGTTTGCTGAGGACACTGTGGAATTCGCAGGCCGGTGACGCAAACAAACATCAAACCCAGTTTGAAATTCCTGAACTCTATCCAGCCTCACCAGCATTTCCCTAGTCTGATACAGTGGAGTCCACTTATAACGAGTCCTGAAACAACGAGGGAGAAGTCTGTTCTAAAGACACTATTCTGAAACCCCTTTTTTTCCCTTCTTTATCTTTGTAAATATAATACAGTTAGAGTCTATAGCGCAATCGGACAAACACGGGAGTCGGTTTTTTAGTGGAATATTGCTGGGCGCTTTTTCGGCAGTTCCCACCCCGCAAAGGGCACCTCTATTCTCACCCTGGGTGAGAATAGTGCAGGTGAGTCTTTTGGCTATTCTCACCCGGTGCGCGTTCACCGTTATAGCCTAGATCTAGGCCAACCAATTTTGCGTTCACCCTAAACCACAGAATTCTGCACTGTGATAACAGAAAAATTGTGCCGTGAACAAACGTTCCATTACTACTGTTAGCCTACTAAAAGCGTACAATTTTGTCTGTGAGCAGTGGAGAGAGAGAGAAAGAGAAAGGAGGAGTAGCGCGAGAACTTCCGGGCAAAACAAAATGGTGACCCGCGCAGTTCGGCTCAATACGAAAAGTTAAAAATAGCCGTAGCATCTTTGTAGATGACCAAATTGATGTACTTTTGTGTTTTGCCATCATTTTTTAGCTTCGTTTTGGTTAATTTGATCGTCCACACCGATAGACTATCATAGACAGTATTCAGAAAGAGACAGAGAGAGAGTAGAGGGGAGGAGTAGATCTTGCGAGAACTTCCGGGCAAAACAAAATGGCGACCCCCGTAGTTCGGCTCGATTCGAAAAGTGAAATAGCCATAGCATCTTTGTAGTCGATAAAATTAGCTTACTTTTGTGCTATAACGTAATCTTTTCTTTGCCTTTATCCATTTGATGATCCACATCGATAGAAAGTATTCCGAAATTAGGAAAAACAGGTCTTGTTTCACACCGGGTGAGAATAGCCTACGGTGGCAAGTCTCACCAGGGGTGAGAGGTCGACCGTATTTCTATTCTCACCCTGGGTGAGAATAGCCACTTCCTTTTATTCACGGGTTTGGGCCACAAGAGTAGGGGGGTTTCAGGGGGGCATGCCCCCCTGAATTTTACCATAATTTAATGTTTTGCAGTTGTTAGGTTTGATATCTTAGCTCACCGCGAATCAAACGTATAGATCTAGATAATTATCTAGATGTAGGTCAGGCTCAAATAAGGGGGGTGGGAACTACCGAAAAAGCACCTATTGCTGCTGCTGTTCACAGCGCACAGGCCAGTTACATACAGTCCGTGCCGTCTTTAAGCACGGTCATCGGGAGAAAGCTTAAGCGTGCTTAATGCCGAAGCGTGCTTGAGAGCGAAGTAGACATAATCCATAGATTTTCATATAGAACATTTCCTGTGCTATGTCCCTTTGTAAGTAGGTCTTTAGCGGTCCCGCAAAAGTGTGCACTGTTATTTTTACCTGCCATGGTTGTTTCCTTGTTTGTTTTTGTTTTGTGATCGAATGGGAAATGAAAACTTAATTTAGACGGCCAGTCACGATACAGCACCCTAGGCCTACACACTGCCTATATGCGTACCACTGTCCGCTCTGCCACATTCATACCACCATCTTCATCCCACCTCGCGCGTGATACAATACCAGTAATCCGGATTAATGGATAGCGAGGGTCAAAGGTGAAATCGCAGCCAGCCTCCCTTTCTCGTCTCCCCGACTCTTTTTGTATTTTTCCGTCTGTGTGTAGCTTTGCCCTAGGCTAGATCCTATGTCCACACGTGCGGCTGTGTGCATCTCTCTGCCTTCCTCTCCACCCGTGTGAGTGTGTGTCTCCATCACTTGCGTTCTTTGTGTTTCTCTTAACACACTCCACTGCTGCGGTGTTGACTGTGTTCGAACTCTGATGGGTCATCATGAAAGTATTGACTGTTGTAAATGAAGCGTGCCTGAAGTCGAATTTCGGTAAGAGCCTTTTAGCGCGCTTAAAGCCGGCACGGACTGTATAAACCTCGCCAGTTGAGAAACTTGTTGGTGATCTAGCGAAACCTAGGACCTTACATCAACTCCTTGAGCGAAACAAAGAATGGGAGAACCCACGTTTGTCAACAACGAAGGCCAGAGTGAATGAGTGAGGAGGGTGTGGTATGCGGAGACAAGCAGAACGCATCGTGTGATAGACCAGCCTAGTCTAGATTATCTACGCCTACCACTACCCATGCCCTCACTCTCCGATGCAGGGATGGAGAGGTCACAATTAATAATAATAATAATAATAAATGGCATTTGTATAGCGCATGTCCCCGCTCAACAGCAGGCTCTATGCGCTTTACACTATATTATTACCCCAGCAGACCATAGAACACTGCAAACTATTTTCAAGTAAGGCAGCTGGCCATCTTGTATGACGTCAGACGGGGATACCCCTCCGATCGTGTGACTACATGATCTAAACATAGCCAACCACATGGCACCAAAGATCGTGTATACATAATACCTACCATGGCATGATGTTTGGTGCTATGTTTTTCCAGGAGACGTACCGGTAATGTGTTATGATGCGGGCCCGGGGGGGGGGGGGGGGCCAGGGGGGGGCTCTGGGCACAGGGGGGTTAATCTCCGAGCATCTTTATGGCAATTTACGCGCGCTTTATTGTCTTTGCATTTACCGTTTTTCAATTTCAAGCATCATAGCGTTCTTACTGTTCTGAGCATCAACGATCTTAGCGGACCAGAGCGTGACTGACGTGCTGCAGTTAGTTGCAAGTGTGAAATTTTAGCGTGTGAAACACATCGATACGGATAATAGGTCAAGCCACTGACCCAACATGTCGTTCCATGCGCTATCTCCAAAAAAGATCGTATAGTGTGTAGTGTAGGCCTAGTGTGTAGTAGAGAATCTTTGGTATCTCTGCGGTCTTCTAAAAATAGTCTGTGGGTATCCCAGGATGTGATGACATCACATTACTAAAATAAGCAGCCAATCAGGCAGGTGCGTCGTTTTACGTTTATGGGTAGATGGTGCATGTTGTTGTTTTCTATCTATTTTCTTGTTGGTTTTATCAGATTTACACAAATTTCAGTTGTTTTACAACCATTGGAAACCATGGCTACATTTTAAGATTATTATATTGACATTGAAAATTTTATTTCAACTATATTCCTGTCCTTCCTATGTTTTTCTATAGTAAATTCTTTTCAATCTTTGTATGTAGTATTTCAGAATAACACATTATAATTAGGAAGTTGTTAGGCATGCGTACGCCCGCCTAACACTGGATTGTTAGGGGCACGTATTTCAAAGTCAAGGCCGTTCGGTGTTCCCCAAAGTCAAGGTCTTTTGTTCGGCGTTTCGTTTCCCATTCATTTCACCAGCGTGCTTGGTCGAACAAAGATGGATTGGGATTGAGACTCGTGACTTGATCTAATCTAAACTTTCTAGATCTCTGTCTTGTCGGGAGGGAGGGACAGAGAGGAAAAGAGTGTGTGTGTGTGTTTTTGACAGAGCGTGCGAGCGTACAAACACACACACACACACACATGCATACAGAGAGAGAGAGAGATGGAGCGAGAAAGAGAGTGTGTGTGACTAGTGAGAGAGAGAGAGAGTAGCAAGAGAGAGAGAAATGACAGGGAGAGCGAGAGAGGGGGGGGGAGAGAGAAAGAGAGGGAGGAAGGGAGAGTGTGTTTCTGAATGAAAAAAAGACATACAGAGAGGAAAAGAATGTGTGTGTGTGTTTGACAGAGGGCGCGAGCGTACAAATGCAGAGAGAGAGAGAGGGGGGGGGGGGGGGAGGGAGGTAGAGAGAGAGTGTGTGTTTCTGAATGAAAAAAGACAGATACAGAGAGGAAAAGCGTGTGTGTATGTGTTTTCGACAGATGGGGAGAGATCTAGAGAGAAAGAAATAAACACACACACGCGCGCACACACACACACAAAAACAAGTCGTCATCAATGATTCACTCAAGAATAACGTTGAAAAGTTTTTTAAATTGTTAAGAATTTCATCAGTGTTTTTGTTTCTCCTTTGTGTCAGTGGCGCTTAGGAGGTTTGTGAAGGACGGCAACGCTATGTGTGTAATGTGTAGGCTACAATGACTGTTTTTGCACCGGGTCAGCCTGTGAACCGACGAAAAAAGAAAATTGACAGGAATCAATGACAATTCTTATTATATGAACAAACGCCTCCCCTCCTCTCTCTCTCCCTCTTTCTTTCTTTCTTTCTACCCACACCCCCCCCCCCTTCTCTCTGTCTCCCCCCTCTCTCTCTCTCTCTCTCTCTCTCTCTCTCTCTCTCTCTCTCTCTCTCTCTCTCTCTCTCTCTCCAAGGGACAATTGAAACATCTTTCGTATTACTGTCGACGAGTGTCGATGTCACAAAAACACTGGTCATTAATTTCGTAGTGCTGTGGAAGCGTATTGAAGCGTACGCTTCCCGAACAGTCCAGTGTTATTGACGTGTACGCGACCCGAACAGTCCAGTGTTATTGACGCGTACGCGTCCCTAACACTGCAGTGTTATTGACCGACACGCGTCCCTAACACCAGCCTTATAATTATTTGTTTCACCCCACAGCTTTCTCGGATATTGTAGAATCAAGTGCATCGTGTTTGCTGAAGGGAGGTGTTGTTGCTGTGCCAACTGACACTATCTATGGCGTGGCATGCCTGGCTCAGAACTCACCGGCTGTTGAGAGGATTTATGCCATCAAGGGGAGGAATCAAGAGAAGCCAATTGCGATCAGTGTTGCTGAGATTGATGATGTCTATAAGTGAGTTATGTTATTGTTATGGATTTGCTTCTAGTTTTGCAAGATGTTAGGCCCTTTTTTATATTTAAGTTTGATGTTGTAAAAAAAAATTAACCCTTTCCCGTAAAATGCTCACCATCAAATATATGTACTTTTCCACTTTCATTCACAGGATTCCCGCGGCCTCCTTGAATTCAAGGGGTCCTTGAAAACTCTTTGAATTTGCATTCAAGGGTAAATCTCCTTGAAAACTCCTTGAATTTGAGGAACCTCCTTGAAAACTCCTTGAATTTTGCCAGATCGGGCAAGACAGGGTGATTGCCAGGCCCCGGGGGCCCCGTGAATTATTGGGGAATTTGAACAAAATCGCTGAGACCCGGGAATTATAAGAAATCTGTAAATTGCCCTGACATAGACCCGAGAAAAACTGAACTTGGAAGCAAGTTTTAATATTCAGAATTTTGATTACCACTAGATCTAGAGCTCTCTGCAAAGCGCGTGTTGGTGCAGGCCTTGTGTGGAATCGGGATCCGTCATACTCAAACTTTGTAAGCCCTGGTTTTTTTAACTAAAGGGTATCGGGTTGGCAGTCACCCTGCCCTGGAAACAGAGTTTTTGAAGGAAAATCGAAATTATGATTCATTTCGGACAAGTGTAGGCCTATCGGAAATAGGCTTTCGTCATGAATTTCTTGACCAAATCTCCTTGAATTTTTAAAATTTCTCTTTGAAATCACCTTGAATTTGGTGGGAAGTTCATGGCAGGAATCCTGCATTCATCGCAACTGTAGAACAAACTAAAGTTCTTCTAAAAGATTAGTTTCGTTTGAGTAAAGCAAGGTATATATTGAAGTGATAAATTATCATTTTATGCAAAGAAAAAATAGCCACAAAATTAGCAAAAATTACACGGGGAACCCATTTTAACGCCCGATTACCAAGTTAAATTAATTTTTGTGAGTTTTGTTTACTTATGTTGTTTTTTTCACTATTTGAATTCGGCGTGCACTAGGCCTTGATAGTGCAAGAGAGAAGGAGCCTGTGCCCCACGCATTGGCAAGAGTGATAGAAGGGAGGCAACACGCACACACGCACACACACACACGCACTGGCCCACGTTGTAGCAGCATGAGAGCCCCCCCCACCCCACCCCACCTCCGAATAGGGCGACAATGTACAAGAGTGAACTAATCGTGAACTGTCAGAGTCTGGCCATGGGTTGTATTCTCCTCTCTCTCTCTCTCTCTCTCTCTCTCTCTCTCTCTCTCTCTCTCTCTCTCTCTCTCTCTCTCTCGCTCTTGCTCTCTCTCTCCCTCCCTCCCCCATCTCTCTCTCTCTTTCTCTCTCCCCATCTCTCTCCCTCCCTTCATCTCTCTCGCTCTCTCTCCCTCTCTCCCCCTCCCTCCCTGTCCCTCTCTCTCTCCCTCCCCCCGTCTCTCTCTCTCGCTCTCTCTCACTCCCCATCTCTCTCTCCCTCCCATCTCTCTCTCTCTCTTTCTCTCTCCTTCTCTTTCTCTCCCTCCCCCATCTCTCTCTCTCTCTCTCTCACACACACACACACACATACACGCGCGCACACACATACACACACATGCGCGCACACACATACACACACACGCGCGCACTCTCACACAGACGCGCGCGCGCACACACACACTTACACACACACACACCCACACCCAAACACACATACACGCAAACACACACGATATACACACACACACACACACACAAATGCGTGAAAGCCAACTTGCCTTGGCACGCGCTCAGGCTTAGCCAGCCACGTCTGTCAAACTCGAGACTCGAGGTCTCGATCTTAAGAGCTATTTTTAGCAGTGTTCAAGACTCGAGGTCTCGATCTTAAGAGCTATTTTTAGCAGTGTTCAAGTCATGGCCTCTCTAAACAGCCCACTTGAAGCAGCTTCCAAACTCGAAAATCGGACTCGATTCCTCGATTCTTTTTCAGTTTTGGAATCGAGGCCTCGAGTCTTTTTGCCGTCGATCTTGCCCTGGCCTATAGAACAGTAGAAAGAATTTGATAGCTTGGTTGACCTCAGGAGGAAGTTACTCTATGAAGAGCGGGCTTGTTAAGCATCAGGAAAGGACTGTTAAGTAACTTCTAGAAATTGGCAACGGTCAGGTGTGGCTACACTACACATTGGTCTATCTACTTTGTATGAATCAAAAATCACCAATCATTTTGCCATCTGTTATTTCAGATGGAGCAAAGTGACCGTGTCACGAGAGTTGTTGACGGACCTCCTGCCTGGCCCTGTGACCGTTGTGTTTGAGAGAAACTCTGAACTGAACCCAGCCCTCAACCCTTACACCTCTTTGGTCGGGATTCGCATCCCAAACCACACATTCATGCAGAGTTTGGCTAAGCAGTGCGACAGTCCCATCGCTCTGACCAGTGCTAACATCAGTGGGAGTTCCAGCTGTCTGCAAGTGAAGGTGAACTTTCGTTTTCATGTTTTCATATATATATATATATATATATATATATATATATATATAATATTCTCCTTTCACTCCCTTTTCTCTTCTCCTGTCCTGTCTGTTTTCATCTCCATTTTCTGAAGGCAGAGGTTCCAATTATGAGTTTGGGAAAATGGTCACGTGTATATAAAAAACAGTTGCACTGCAGGTTGAACAACCAAAGTCAACCACCCCTAAGATCTAGCTAAGAAATGCAAAGAAGAAGATTGTTTGTCTTAAGTCTACTTTGACGTTTAAATCATTGAGCCAGGCTGAGTGGCATATAGATCACGACATCACAGATGCTGGTCTGAGGCTGATGAAAGAAGTCTTATTTTATAGTTTCTGTCATTTTACTTCTTTTGAAAATGTTCTGTGAAAGAACTTTTGAAAGACTGTAAGTTTATTTGAATTGATGTAAATTAAATTGTTTTTGAGAACCAATATTGAAGCTGTTGATGAATGCACTGTGATAAAAAATATACGATTTTAGTTCTCAGGGCCTTCTTTAGGAATTAGGCGCTGTATAAAGTCCCTTTATTATCATTATCATTGATGTTGTTATCATTTTATGAATGTGCTTGAAATCAAATACCGATATCATAATGTGTGTTTACACTTTAATTTTCTCTGTTGCTGTTTTTGGTGGTTATGCAATGTAGTGTTGATTGAAAAATAGGAAGTTGCTCCAAAAGACATTAGACATAATAAGAATGCAATTTAATGTTCAAGAAAAGAGAGATTTTTAATTTTTTTTTACACAGGTGAAAAAGAAGTGGAAGACAGAATTTTGTTTACCTTGAGATGTAATGTTTTATGTGGTGTTTCCATAAAATGTTTGTTAAAAATAAAGGTGCAAAATCTTGGTGATGTAAAAAAAAAAGAAGTAAAATGTTACTGCTTCAGGGAAATAAATTGCCTTGTAAAATTGTTCTCTCAAAAGTAATAACGCAATAACTCACAATGGTTACTTGGTGATCACAGAACTCATTAACTTCTTTAACACTAATGAGATAAACTTTCCCTTACTGGCTTCTGTCCCATCAGGAGTTTGAAAATCTGTGGGCCCGTCTGGACCTGATAGTGAACGGTGGTACTTTGAGCGACACTGAAGAATCTCGCCAAGGCTCCACCGTGGTGGATTTGTCTGTTCCTGGGACCTTCAAGATCATCAGACCTGGCAGGTAAGCTGAGTTGACCATCTTTCCGTTGGCACTTTGTCCACAAAGTATCGATAGTTACACACACACACATGCACGCATACCACCACCCCCACCCCAAAGTGACAATAGCTTCTGTCGTGGGTTCTTAAATTATTTTTTTGTTTGTTAGTAAAGGAAATATGGCCAGTGTGAAGGCTTTGTTCCATGGTATGTATAAATTATTGCATTCGTATTAAGTACGTAATAATATAAGACACCCACAACTTGACATCTTTTTTCACAGCTGGCACAAAAATACGTGCCAACCTTTTTCTTAAAGAACTACCGATCATGGAAACAAAAAATTATGTACATAATACATATATATATGTGTGTAAAATATGTATCATGGTACTGCACCTTAATTCTGACTGACCCTAAAACTGAAGGCATCTCAAATCTGGCTCGATGTTCTTGTCTTAAAGCTACACAAAGACTTTTTGCTATTTGTGTTGTACTTCTAACCTTCATTTCTCTCCTTGCTCTCCCACACCACTACCACCTTCCTCCCACCCCCTTCCCTTAAGATAAAGTAGTTGCTACTGTAAAACAGAAATTATATTGATTTAACAATTTTTGTAACCTCATAGAATTTTGACTTTGTTCATGTGTAGGCTATCTGAAGGATTGTTGTGACTTATTAAAATATTTAAAATGCTCGTGATATTTTGAAAGGTCATGTCTGCTATTAATTTGTTTTCTGTCTTAACACAGTGCCCATGTTGTTACCCAAGCCTGTCTTAAGGACAAGCACGGACTGGTGGAGAGAGGTACCCAAGTGTCACCGGACAGATAACGCTCTCATGAGGATTTTTACTGTAGTTATTTTCTGTTTTGGAATTTGTCCTGTCCCGTAGATATTACATACCTTTCTTGTATATATTCAAATGTTTAAGATCTCTGCAGTGTATACTTGCAACCATGTCACCAACATTGCAGTTATTGCTCTTGTTGTATTTTAATATTTGAAGAACAGCTCACTACAAATCTCTTGTTCACTTTGTACGGGTCAGCTTGGATTTGAAACTTTATGGAATTTTTTAAAGAATCACTGTGCACATGCTGACTAAATGAAATGGTTTGTCCTGATTTCGCCAAAAGTACCAATTTTCCTCAAGCAGATGTGAAATAAGCTAGCACAGAGTGACTGCCAGGCCCTGGGAATTTGAATAAAATTGCTGAGACCTTGTGATTGCTTGTAGAATTTAAGGGGGGGTGGCTATGATATACACTATCTGGCTATTTACCTGTCGTTGAGCTAGTTAATCTTCATTGGGATGTTTGTTTGGTTGAAATGAAGTACCCTGAACCTCAAAATAAACATTTTCACTTTTTTCTATGGCGTGGCACCACAAACAAAATGCAGAGTCAGCATTTTACACACAACTTTATTTCAGATAGATCTCAACAACCTTTCAAGTTGGAGGCCTAATATTTAGCATAGTTACACTTGTGGGCATCCTCTACCACTTTATCAAAGCAGAAATCAATTTATTTCTTCCGTTCCCGAGATATTCAGCCTCAAAGTGGGCTATAATTGGTTATATTAACTGATTCACTTCCCACCTGTTTTCCTGTTTGTGGACCACGCCCCCATTTCACACTACGTGATTGTGGAAGGGTGAACCTTTCACTGTAAATGTGGTGGCCTGGACCTAAGGGATCCAGCAGGGTCTCGAACAGTTTTACCGGATTAGAATCATCTCCAAGTCCACGCGGTATGATGTCTCCCACCCAAAATATATGAGCAGGTTGCCAACATATCCCGTTTCGCTGTCAACCAGTCCAAGTACCTTCACATAGTACTTATGTTGTTTCGACGGGTTGTACTGCTTTTACTTCCATGGTCCGGTCCACCCCACAACCATCTCGTCCAGAGCAAGGTATTTTCCTGGGTAGAATGCTCGGCGGAAGCTCTCAAGAACAGAGTTCACAAAGGGCTCAATTTTTTCTTTTCCCTCAGCAGATGTGTTCTCCGAGCAGTGAAGCATGGTATGATAAATTGCCTCAAACCGCTTGCGGGCAAACATTTGTGAGTACCAGGCGCAGTGCTCTGTCTTGGCCTGTGACCAGTAATCACGAATAGTTTGGTCTCCTACTTAGTCCCATCTTCGTAGTGACAGCTAAAAATTTCAACAGTTCATACCGGGAAATATCCTCCCAGTTTGCGTAAACAGAATGCTTTTTCGCCAGTGTGTTCTGCGGAACTTTCGTCAATGCGTACTCGTTGATGGACGATAGAAGTTTATTCTGTATGGTCTCAGTAAATAACGCTGTGAAGCAGTCAAGAGGGGTTGACGATTCGCTAAAACCGGCCTCTTCCCTCACTCCAGACGAACCATTAGGTGGGGTGAACCTACAATGCTTGAAGCTCACCCGCTCACCTTCACTGATCTTCGCCCATGCTGGTAACTGAGCCTGAGCAGAGCTAGATCTAGCCCTAGACCCAGATGTAGTATCCAGTCTGGGTCTTTTCCCCGACGGGCCTTGCCTCACAGTACTGTCCTCATTTGTGTCTACACTGGTACTAGTACTGGCACCATCGCTAGCCCTTGAGGACACACCCCTTTCACTGACTTCGCCTTCATCGTCGCTCTCACTACTTGGTGGACCAAAGTCAGAAAAAAGTAGTAAAATTCAGGCAAAAGTGTCTACCTCAGTCTCCACCACCAGAGACATAAAGCTGCCCATGAGTGTCAATGAGCCTCTGTTCCTCCCTTTGTTTGGCATATGCCTTGGCCTGGCGAAATCTCCTTGCTTTCTTTGTGACTGCTGCTTCAGCTTTTACAGTCCTCAAATGGTCTCACTTATTCCGGCAACGCTTCGTTTCGTCATTAACAGGCAAGTAGAGGTTGTCTTGAAACTTCCTCGAGGCAGCCGCTCCAAAGTTGAATTCTGCGACTCCCACAGACACAGCAATTGACAGACAATTGCGGTTAACAAACTTGTGCTTTGGACACCGAGCCCATATAAGCGCGCAGGGGCTTTCGTTTGCATTTTGTGTGGTCTGCAGGATGCAGCGCCCCAAATAGCTTGTCGGTCGACATTTGCTCAAAGGTTTGTTGGTTGCTGTCCACGCCGATCTTGCAGAGGGGAGTCCCCACATTCTCCTCATGGCTGCCTGGTGGTAGGCCCTTTGCGTTTGCCTTCTTCCTAAAACACCATGAGTCATCTCCCTTTGGACTGTTGTCATGTTTGGGATCGGCGTCGGTGGAGGAACTGTGGTCGACGATCGCAATCACTGCTTCTTTCATTACAGGCACTGTGGTGTTGCTGCGGATGGCTTTGGTTTAGTACTTTTGGAGGGTTGTGATGACTTCAGGTCGGAGTTTGCCATGGTCTTTCCCTCCTAGTGTGACCTTGGGCTTCGCCTTGGACTTCTCTGCAACCAAGTTCCGAAATGCTGTCCCTAGTCGTTTGCCGACATGGTTGACACACTCATGTTTTGCCACTTTAATGCCTTTAACTTCTCCATGACGAGTCCAATGTCTGACTTTGAGGTGTGGCCACGCTTGTGTCAACTACCATCAAAGGAGACATGGATGTCTTTCACATCTGAGGTTTGCTCCGGATAGGCTGCCTTCACAGTCTCCACTGCTTTCTCTATAAAATCCCTTGAGAATACTTCACTTCTGTCACTAATGACTTTAGTGTGCACTGCAGAAGTTTTGTGATGGAGGACTGGAATGTTCGTGAACTCAGAAAAGTTGGGCAAAGCAGCGTATCCCATAACGGTTGCAGATGCAGCAACAGCTGCTCTTTGATTAACATCGAAAACAGACTGGGCGCCAGCACATTTTGATGATGTCATTGTCGAATTCAGGTCATTCCCACATTCACTGCACCGAACGATCAATGAAATAGCTAGACCACTGTTCAAAAGACGCTTTGTGGCATTTCAAATTAGGGCACAGAAGTCCAGAGAAAAGCGGTTTCAGCTTTTCCAGGTCGGCAATGGTAGAAGGCAGCCTTGTGCTTTCTTCATGGTTCTGAACAGGTTCAAACTGGTAGGCCAGTTTTCACTTCGACGCAGAGCACACATCGTCATGCTCAATTGGCTGTGCTGATGCTGACGGTGTGCCAGATGCTGATGATACAGGCTGCGACAGAGAGTCAGGTCGAGAAGAGGGTGGACCAGCTGTAGGTAAAGGCGACGACAGATCAAGTTGAGGTGAAGGTGGTGACTGTTCAGGTTGAGTCGTACTGCTAGATTTGTTCATAGAACGGGGCGGTGCTACTGACTGAAGTTTCTTTAGGCCATTCCCAGGGGGGGGGGGCATTAACATCTCGAGTCCTTTGCCCAGTACAATTGTAATTGTAAATGAACTGATTCATCAATGTCATGATTGTTCAGATGTGGATTCATTAAAGTCCTACTCATATGTTCTACTAGATCTAGATCTATATTTATTTATAGATCATTATAGACCTCAATGGAGGATTCATATTCATATTCCTATTCTATTGTGTCAAACCCTATTATAGGTTGTGCTGTAATATTAATGTTGGTAAAAAAAAAGTATTTCAACAATCGGATGCGGATTTCTCATTCAATGCCTATTTCTCTATTCATTTCCACTTCTTTGTGGAGCCGGGTTGCTTCGCCTTCTCGTAACACACCTTGCAACTCCAGGTGGGGCGTTTCTTCTTCTCGGTTGAAGGAATGTAGTGCGGGAAGCAACGTGAGTGGAGGCGGTCAAGCTGTGTGGGAGCTGGGTCCTCGGAATCACCTTCTTGCCAGCGTAAGAATTCCTTTACCGTGCCCTGTGCAAACTTCTGGATGGTCTTTGAGATTGGCAGAGGCTTCCCACCTGTCGATGTCTGTTTCCTGTTGTACAGGATGGATGCCTGCACCATCATGAGGGTGAACAGATGGCCAAACAGTTTTTTCCACCGTTTCATGGTTCGGCGATGGAAGGGCACAGGCCTGCCTAGTCCACTTTTCCTGAATTAGGGACTCCTAGAGCCAAAAACAGGGACATTTGATCCAAAAAAGGGACAGGACAAAACGTAACAAAAAAATTGCCACTCACCAGTACATTTTCATGTTGTCTGCTCATACATTTATTTACATACACTATATACATTCTTTGATTCTGAGACGCCTGCTCCAGGGAGTAGGCCGACTTGAGCCTCTGGAAGTTTTCATCTGTGACCAGCACAGGCTTGTCTAGGCTCTTTAAGATGAGGAGAGACTCTAGAGTTTTGTCATTCATGGCAGATCTCTGGTCAGTTTTGATTTGCCTGACCAGAGAAAAGATCCTCTCACAATGGGCACTGCTGTGAGGAATTGTTAGGATACCTTGCACCACTCTCTGCCTGCATGGTTCTTGAGGTCATCTTTCCCACTGTGTCCAATGCTTATATCTGTGCTGCATGTGGTGCAAAAAGCATGGTGGATACCCTTGAAACTAGCCTGGAAAGTGGTAGATCTAAATTTGCTCCATCAAGAACAAAATTCTCTCCTCAGTCGGGATAGTCAGTCCCAAAATGCAGTGACAACACCATATTATCGTCAAGATGTAAATATTTCTCACCTGAATCCAAAAATTCCTCATTAGAATCAGTTTCTTCAACATCGGAGTCGAGCGTCTGGAAGAACTCAATCCCTTCAGAAGCCTTTTTTCTCTGTGGTGAGACAGGATTTGATGTCAATCAAAAAACAAACTTCAAAATCTCCCTCGTTCGTTGAAAGTCACTCTTCTTTAGGTCACTGGAAGAAGAAATGGATCGAGTTCGCAGATATTGCAATAAACATGGATAACATATGTGTCACGACGCGGTGGAATCAGGCACTCGTCAAGTTTTGGGCATGTGGAGTTACTGTTATTATCTTAATGCTTGTTTATTTGTCTTGCTTTTGGTGAAAAAAGTACCCATTTATCTTCAATAGAAGTCGAGATATATGTAATTGAAGGACGGGGGGGGGGGGGGGCCTTGTTTCAGAGGTAAAATTAGTGAGAAAATGACCGCCAAAGTTTGGTGACTTCTAATGCTTTAGAGTCCTTGGAAACTGCAAATTTACATTTTCTGTGTCTTTAGTCAACGTTTTTCAGTAAAATCAACACAGTAATGTATTTTTAATGGACATAACAGATGTTGAGCCAAAAAATAAAAATTCATCAAAAATTGCATACAGGAACAAAAATGCCGTTTTCTTCTATTCCATTATTTTGACGAGCGCCTGATCTCTCCACGATGCCTTTCGCCTTTTTATTTTTATCACGAGTTAACTCGTGGTCGGTCCTCAGGCGACGGGAAGCCATCACGAGGTAACTCGTAATTGGTCCCTTGTGAGTTAAAACCCCACTTCGTTGGCTTTGCTGGAAGATTTTGTTTATGAATAGAGTGCCCTTTGAATTTGATCATGGATTCATCAATGGCCAGGTGAGGAAAGGGATAGTAACAGATGGAATACATTATATCTTCAGTCAAGTCTATCTGTGGGATCTGTCTTTTTCTTGACTAGATATCTAGGAATATAGATCACTCACCGTTGTTCTTTTTGTTTGACTTTTGCTGCTCGAGATGTTGTCTCTGAATTTTTTACATATAAGGACCAATGACATGTACTTCCAGTCTTCGGGATAGTGTTTAGTTCCATCTTTTATAGTTATAGATTTATTTTTACTCTGAACGGTCTTGCTTGACAATTTCGAAAAAAATGTATGGTGAATTTGTCTGAAATTCGTCCCGTATGTCTTGAAAATCGGCATAAGATGAAAACACGTCTCCTATTTGGAAGGGTGACGCCATCTTGAATGTTGAGAAATAGTCTGGACGTTCTGTTTGGCTGAAATTATGTGCCGTGGAATTATCACTTCTGGTTTTCCAACAGCCTGCCATATATATATAAACATCCACTTCCATTTCATTATTTTGATGAGTATCTGTTTTTACCACGATGCCTCACATTATATTATTTATTTTACTTCCAGCGCCTTGGAATCCAATCACCATCTCCTCTATCGAGACATCTTTTGTGGAGTAATCTTTTTATGTTAAACACAGATTTAGAAATTTTATATTAGGATGGCGAAAGAGGTTTCATGAATTTTCATGCACATTTGGCTCTATACCCAGGTGGCTACACAGTCCCTTGTAAAGGGTTCTCAGGTTCCCTGTAAGTCACAGATCTTTTGCATTCATACAGCACTTCCTAAATCTGATTTGCACCTTTAAATTATAAAGTGCATTTGGCCCACTCATGAGTCGGTGCAATTCTTCTTTGGATTCAATCAAACCACCTTGGCTCACCAATTCTGTGAAGAGATGTGCTTGTCTTTCTTTCTCATTTATTTTTTTTTCTCTTCTCTCTTTCTTTCGGTTTCTTGGACGTTCCTTTTCACAGCCGTTGTGACACTTTTGATTGCTGCTTTGTGTTTTTCTTTCAAGGGCCCACTTTGCTTCCTTGCACTTGCCATGATCTTTCTTTGATTTGTCTGATTTTTGCTTGTCAGGAATTTGGATTTGGATTGTGTTTTCATGTGCTGATGGTGCTCCGCAAGAATGTGGCTGCTTTCCTTCTTTTCACCATGTCATAATCCAAATCTCCAAAATTCTTTCCCCAGTCAGATTTGTCAAAGGGCATGTAGATAAAACCTCATTGACAGAAGAGGGAATTTCTCCCCCATACACCCCTCCAGGCGAAAAATCAATCTACTGCCTTTCAACAACACGCAAACTATTGATACAAATCTCCTTAAAAACAATTGTTGCAATGTCTTTATCACAGTTTTCGGGCATGAAACAATGCTTGGCAATCTCAGATTGGTTTGCAAATTGCTCACCAAACACTACAGGTAGGCCTTCTTGATTGGAGAACAAGGCATTTACTTCAAATTCTATTGGTGACCACTGTGACAATGCTGCATTCATCTGTTGGACATACTTGGGAAACTGAATATCTGAATAGGGAATGTCGCAATTCATTAGGCTCCAATATGGTGTAGCTTGGTATGTGGCAAGGATGGCGATTCCTCAGACAATAGAGAGAATCCTGTTATCCTCCAAATAAAAAATAATGCACTGGACTGGAGTTTTAAATTTGAATGAAAGCAGCTGTTCTCCAGAAAGTTGACAGACTGAGTGGTATGAAACAGGACAGCAATAGAGTTTTCAAAGCTATAATTGAACCTATTTGTTCTGAAGCTTGTGAACATGGATTTTACCTCATTAAGCTCACAGTCTGCCAGCCATTCTTCCCTACTGCCATTTTTTTCATCGCCTCTTGGATCAAACAAGTCAGATACTGTCCGCATTAACCTAAAGGCTGCTGTTTCTTTTGAAGATAAAAAAGTTGGAAATGAGGCAATTTTATCCCTTTCTAACTTATCAAAAAACATTTCTTGTGATTTGACAGCTTTCTCAGCTTCATCAGCAAGAGCAATGAGGACATGTGCATTACAGTATAGGAACTCAATGGCTGCATCAGTTCCTAGAGTGTCCTGCTTAAATTCCAACATGTTTTTGTTGAATAACTTTATGTTCGCAGTCTGTAGAGATGGGGCTCTCGTGGCCTAGAGGTTAGGTGTTGGCCTCTCATTCAAAGGTCCCGGGTTCAAATCCAGGTAGCGACCAAAAAATTTTCTTTTCTAAAATTGTCTTTCACCTCCTTTTCTGCTCTCTAGCAATGTTGTCATCTGCTTTCGTCTCCTCTTTCTGCTCCCACCCCCTCATCTGGGCTCCTGACTCTTTCTGCAGCCTTTCTACTGCTATTCCTTTGCTCCTTCTTACTGCTGCCTTTCAGCCACACCCCTCATCTTCTGGTAGGAAAGATCTACACTTAGCCTTCTCGGACAAGGGCGAAAAATCTCGGAGGGCCCGTGTGCAAGTTACGCACGTTAAAGATCCCTTGGTGGTCTACAATCGATAAGAGTAGGCTTCGGCCGCCACCCGGGCAAAATTCAAGATTTCCTACCAACTGAAAGTATTAGGTGTGTCCCGTCCGCTCATATGACCTTATGCAGTTGCGAGCGCCGTAATACACTTACAAAAAAAAAAAGAGCAGCCTGTAGAACAAGAAAAGATCAATGATTTTAATGGTGTTTGAATTATTTCAATCAGACGAATGTGAGCTGGGTAATAGGACGATAAAAAAATTGGTACTTTCGGGGACCTCGCCTCTCTTCTGCGGCTTTCTACAGCTCGCAGGCGGGGGCTTGCAACACCCAATATAAAACATTGTTTATGAGATACAGTTTTTGAAGTGATGGTGATGCTTTGTTCACAACTTTTCCTTACAATCATATGTCTGTATTTTTTTCTGTTGTCTTTTAAATGCAAGTTAAAAATTATATTCATCAAAAATTTTTGTCCTCAACTTGCAGATCTCTATTCTTTACATCAATGTCCAGAAGCTTCTGGCTGAAGAAATGAAGCTTAAAATGACTTCATATCTTCAAACATTGGGAAGATCCACCGGGGAAAGGGTCATGCACCTAAACCCCCTTAAAAAATGTCTCTTTTAATCATTTCTTACAGTTGGATCTTCTTTTTGCTCTTTTGTTGTGTCTATCTGTCTTACCTTTTTCTGCACTAAATGACACTTATTATGTAGATGTGCATCTTTTTACCCATACAACGTGAGGCCAGTTTCAAATGTGATATTTTGGTCTCTGCCAACTCCTAGTATTATGACTGTATTCTGCACTATTATTATTGTGATTTAGAAAAAGAATTCAAAATATTGAAAGAAATTTTCAGCACGCTGAGAAGAGCAAAAAGCATGTGAACAAAGTATGTGTTCCTTCAAGAGCGAGGAGGCTTGTTGGTGTCATGCATCTTTGATGTGTCATGTTGAGTGTTGGATTCTTCCACTCACTTTTCTTTCGTCTTTCATTTACTGTTAAAACCTTCAAATATTCTCTTTTGTGAAACACATTTTGACAAATGACAATGTTGCTCAAAAGCCTATAATAAACACTGCACATACACATATACATTATTGTATTTATTAACAGTGTGTTTAATGAGTATGTTCAATTACTTAGATTTCTTTGTTTCAATATATTTATTTGTGTCGATAATTTTATTTGTATATCAAACAGTTGGTAAAAATTGTGTTTGTTTTCATGTATCATGGACTGTTAATGAACAATTTTATTATTAGGAAAAAATGTGTCCCAATTTTGATGTTTATTTTCAAGCACAATTTCTATTTAATGTCTGATATATGCAATGACTTCTTATGTCTTATTTTTCTGTGTTGGTGGACATTATGTGACAGCAATTTTAAAAAAGGGCAGGTGTATGCTTATTTTCAAAGATGCCTCTTTACCATCAATTGCCAGAGCCTTGAGTTTTAAATTTTATGGAAAAAATTCTCTCAAGATGTAATGAAGCAAGTGGTGTAGGAAGTAGTTGTTACAGTGTTACCATCAAAAGCTTCCCCAAAAACGATTGTTGTTTTCTTCATCTTCATTGACATAGTGTAGATCATTTAGGAGGTGGGCTACTTGACCCACCTACTAGGGCAAATCGGATGGAGTGGGACACGACACATATTCCCAGCAGGGAGTGGCAGAGGCTGGATGAAATAGACTGTCCCATGTTAGAATGGAACACGTCTTTCTTGTCTTGTGTGCAATGGTAAAGACCCTAATGTTGATGACACAAGACACTGGTCCAGTTATGAACAAACTTTGTGGTGTGTCACAATTATTTAATCATCCAAAAGAATGGAATGTCTGGCCTAACACATGTAGTATCATTCTATTTATTGTCATGCTCGAGTCTGTGGCCTGTTTCTTGTACCACTATGTCTCAAAATCTGGAACAACAAATTTCCAATAATTTATCTCAGGAAAAAAAAAAATTATAATACAGTGTTGTAAATGGTAACCTTTTTAACTGATAAAAACAGTTTCTTTCTTTGTTTTTCTGTTATAGTTGTTTCCTGTTGGACTTATTATTAGTGGCATCTTTCAATATTCTCCTTTGTTGGTAAAAAATGAAAACCTGTTCAATTCAATGGGCAAAGTTGGATGTGGGTGGTTGGGGGTCGATGCTGATTGATCTGATTTTTTTTACTACATCATGTACCGGTGTCCACTTTTTGTTTGTTCTGCTTGTTCCCAGCACTACATGATTGTTTTCATACATCCATATTATTATGTTTACCTTGTTGACTAATAAACAATGCCAACAAAAAATTTGAATCAAACCAAAGTTCTCTGAGTTTTCTTTTTATTATTCCTGAGTTATAGTTGAAATTCTTTTTCCTTTTGATAATGTGGGTTTGATATTACAATTACAAGGGTCCGTGTATGATGTGGTACATTATATTATATTATCTTCTAAACTTTAGCCTACACCGTCAATCCTTTTATGCTTTGTGTGGTTGCTTTCAACTTCTCGCAACTGGTTGCAAAGTGTGCGCTGAGATTTGCACTAGAAAATTGTGGTGTATTTCAGCTGGAAGAATCAGTCGCTGTGACCGAGTGCTTGCACAGCCCGCTGGTACTCGCTGAGAAGTGTGTCGCGCTGCAGGGCGGGGTATGGCTGGAACTGACGCAGACGTCTCCGATGTCGGGTGTCCGGATTCGGCGCTGAGAATCGTGGGTGACTTCCTGCCTGGACTTCGTGTAGAGGGGCCTGAAGCATAACAATATAATATGTATTATAAAACTAAGAGAAATCGCCGGTGCCTCTCTAATCAAATCAACTCTTGGGGATGTTGCGGATAAATATATATCCGACCAAAACAATATTGTGGCTCCTTTCGAACCATCCTACAGAAATCAGAAACACGAACGTCTACATAAGTATATTTCGTAGTATGCATGTTGCAGCCTGCCTTTTTCATTTGTAAGTTTAATTAGATAAAGAAAACAATTGAAAAATGTATTTAATTTAGTAGCCAAGTGACTACAAACAGTGCGTCTTCAAACGATGTTTGACTGGAATGCGTCTCCTCAAAAAAGTTAATACATGTAATGATTTGGCATGAGGGACAAAACGCTGTCGGTCCGTTTCCAGTATTTTATCCAACAGAGCTGTGTCAAAACTCAAAATCCCTGCATAATTCGAATACATTTTAATGAACAACAAACTGTTCTGTTGATAAGATCGCACTCTTCTTCACTGCTGCTTGTTTCTGTCGACTTTCATACAGTGGGGCACAGAAGACACAAAAAACTCGAAATTCTAATAGTTCATACATGGTGCAGTTTAATAGACGTCTGTGTAATGAATGTTGTTTTTTAAAGTAAATTGATTATGTAAATGCATAGCCTTATTTTCTCTATACATGATATTTATTAGTGTATATGTTATATAATGCTCATTGCCGTGCGTTGTACGTAGAATCCGTGAGTTTGATCCTCAATAAGTCGTGGGAAAGATTTTCACCAAATAGCTCATTGTATCTACTGGGATGTTGGGCTGTTACACTCATCTCTATTGGCCCTGACAAGTAAGGTCGAACAATTCCACCTTTGAATGATTTACTCGTGTATGGGTCAATAAGATATAACGGCTTTTAATGTTTATTATTGTTGTGCGTGTGTGTGTGTGTTTTTTTAAGAGAGAGTGAAAAAGTGGGGGTGGTTACGGTAATAGGCAAGTGCCCAGGAAGACATAGTGGCATGCATTAACATAAGTATGATATAAGAATGTACGTGTAGTCCAGGGGCGGCTGATGGGGCTAAAAAGTGGACGTGCACAATTAAGCTATCACATGCTGAAGATAGTCAAGGGCATAGTAAATGAGAAGGTGTATTATTTTAGGTTGGTGAGGGAGGAACTCGTGCTTTTATTTTCATTCTTTTTACTTGTCGCTTTGATTTCTAGTACTAAATTTGTTTGTTAGCTAAACATCAATTTCGTTCATCCTGTAGATCTATTGGAACTGAATACTCAAAACCATTCAAAGGCACAACTCATAGGACCTCCCTCAGGTTCACGGTCACAGAGTCACTTAAAATAGTGGCAAGACAGACAACGAACCAATCACAATTCGCTTTAGCACTCCGCTGGATTGCTCTGGGGCTCACATAATATTGGCAAAGAATAGCCTACGGTATATCGCGTTTACTGCCTACTGTGGGCTATGTTCCGGCACTGTTCGGCAGGAGCACATTTGAGATGCGCCGTCTTATTAATATTAATGTACCGCCAAACTCGCTACGAGTGTCGTCATCGCTTGGGTTAACCCCAAGAGCGATTTATAGGTCATGTTATACTGTTGAATATCCTATTATGTTTAGCTAAAGCGCGTGGACTTTGGCATGGCATAGTAGATGTTTTACGGCGCTATAGGCACAGAAATGACATTTATGGCGCCAGTGAGGACCTTGTTTTGATATGATATTTGGCTAGTGTTTGTTTCTGGCTTCTTTTATTTTTATTATTGTGGGTGTTTTACGTAACAGAACATTAAAATATTTTGGGCGGCACTGCACGACCGTGCTCTATGGACGAACCGCGCCTGGTGTAGTCGTGTAGGCCTACCCGTTGTATGGTCCCAGTTCTGCGTCTCACATGGCCGTCCAGCAGAGCCTCTAGGGCCAGGAACTGATCACGCATCAGCCGGAGTTGTCGCCCGTGTGGCAGGTCGGGCCGGAACAAGAAGGGTGTGATCTCACAGTCGCCATGACACGCCGATGTGCTGGGGAAACACACGCAGCCTGGGGTAAAGAGTAACGCCAGCTTGGCTTTCGCTGGCTTGGGATTGTTCTCAACCCCTCGGGGCGGTGCCACTAACTGAAATGTCTTTAGGCCATTCCCTAAGGGGGGCTATCTCTCGTTCATGTACAGTAGAATTGTAAATGGGCTGATTCATCAGTGTCACGCTCATAACTGTGCCTGCTCTAAAACAGGGAACTGCTGCTTTTTCTTTCCTAATCCTTACTATTGTCATTTTTTCCTCTACTTCTTTTTTATGTTTGTCACACTCTTGTGACCCGCTATTTCTCGGGTGCCTTGAAAGTCGAAACAGACTTTGGGCTGTTGAAGCTAGAGAGGTGAGCAGAGTAAGCCTGATTCCTTGTGAAGACTTCTCTGTTGACATTCACCCCTTGGTACTCATATGACCTTGCCTTGTGCAATTGCGAGTGCCGTAAAACCTCTACTAAATGAATAAAATTTTAAAAATAGGAATTGTTCTTATTATTGTAAGTATTTAGCATCCCCATCAACACAATGCCGATCATTCGCAATTCTGGAAGTGTGCAGCTTCAACTTTAACCCTGCCTGCTAGGACCAACCTGTTCTAAGTGGAGTACACAAAAGATGTACAATACCATTTACTCACAGCAGCCAGACGAAGATACTCGTCCAAACATTTTTACAAGACTTGAAGGGGAACAAATTGGGGGGAGTGGGGGTGGGGTTATTTACATGTCTTTTCAACAGGGGGGGGGGGTGCTGGTATGTCCTACTTCTTTACTGTCCTTCTTTTGTTTCTACTTGTCTTTTTTTTTTTCGTCTCAAGCACTAAATGATGTGGGAATTAGTGAGACCCCACCCCCTCTTGCCTCTCTCTATCCCTCTCCATCTCTCTCCCTATTAATCTATATAACCTCGACATTTCTTCCCTTTACTCAAACTCCATTTTCTCAAGTGGAACAATTGTGGCCTACCTGTCCATGGTGATCATGGCAGACTTGCGTCGGCTGAGGTTGGACTTCCTCCTCTTGATGGCGTTGAGGTGAGCGAGGACGGAGAGCGAGGGCTCTAGCCAGGCCAGCCACACAGTCTCCGGGAGCCCGTCCACCAGAGGCTCTAGGGGGTACTGCTGGGAGAACACGCGCTCGTACTGGGCCTGGCGGGGGGTGTCTAGTTGAGCCAGGCTCTCCTGGTCACAGAGGTCAGGGGTGATTAGATTAGAAGAGATAAGATCAGAGAAATCTAATGATACTTAAATTTGTGGCTGTTCAAGAATGGTCTCTCGAAGTGCAACCCCTCATCCACGCCGTGGGAGATGGAAACAGGACACAATAGGGGATAGCTGGGTCTGGGTGAAGTACGGTGTGACTTTATGTCTCTGAGGCGTTACGCTAGCCGTGAAGGCCGACCCGGGTCATCCCGAAACGTTGCAAGCCAACGGGGCTCTGGTGAAACTGCGACAGGCTTTGCAGGCCGGCAGTGGATATTAATATTGCTCAAGAAAATATAAGGAGACACAAACGAACTGATCAAAGCGGAAAATGACCTGGCGAGGAAAACGGAAAACGATCAAGAAAAAAGGAAAAAATTTGGACATGGAACTTTTGCAGCTTGACAAATAAAGAACCTGAGATAGCTCACGGGATGTCCCTCCTACAGGCCACTCGCCTTGCTGCAGACAGGCCCCTGTATCTCCCCGCGACACCCACCGGTACAAGCGGAAGAAAAAAAATAAAGTAAAAGTAAGTAAGTAAAGTTCAAGAATGTTAAAAGTAAAAACACATGTTTGGTTGGATTTGAAGTTTTTGTTTTCAATATTCTTTTCTTTTCTATCTATTTTCTTCTTCTTTTTTTTTTTTTTGGCCCCTTGAGCGTTATCTTCTTCTTCATTAAGTAATATTTGGGGAAAGTTTTTGTTTTTTTCTCTGACCCTTCCCCTGAACCCCCGCCCTCTCTCTCTCTCTCTCTCTCT